TTCAGATCAATAACCCTAATCGGTACACTATTCAGTTCTTATATCAAATAGTAAATGCATATAAATATACTCAATTCTATCAACATGAAAATTAACTAAGACTTAAATTCATCATATAGCCAAGGTAATTACTCAAAATATTTTATTTTAAACACGACGGCCACACTTTTGGCGCCAAAAATGCAACCTACCAAAAGTTCTAAGAAACTTCCAGAAGGGAATTGCCTAATATTAAACTTTAAAAATATAAAAAAATAACTTTATCAATAAAATCCTGTCTACTTTGGTTACACAAGTTTCGGTTGTCCGGTGTCAACCTTCCGGCCTTCGACGTCGCTCAGACAGCAGATATAAAAAATTCCGGAAATAGTAGACAAACTTATGCTCCTTTATAAAAAATTTACCAATTTTCCCAATGAAATTGTACAATCTTAAAAATTATTTACCCAATGGCTTTTGATGAATTTAATAATCAAATAAATTAACATAACTAAATATGGCAAGAAATCAATCAAAGTATATGTTACATGCATGAACCCAAAAAGAAAACAAATTCACCAACAGGTGGCATGGTTGGTCGTTAGCTTGGTACCAGGCGAAGGACGCTTGCGCAAGATGGTATGCAAAAATTTTGAGATCTTAATTTCTACCTTTACACAAACAGTGAAATAAAAAAATATATATATATATATATATATATATATATATATATATATATATATATATATATATATATATAAATATATATATAAAAAATCATCTGCATATCCGCAATTATATCTTAATCATCAACGTTTAATTTTGAAATACAATAAACATTTAACACTCTCCAAGTTGCAAGAAGTTACCTGCTTAACTCATAGTTAAGACCAAATTATTTATAAAAAAAATATTAAACCAAGAAATTTTACAATTAAATGTAAATCATAGAACAAAATAAAAAGAAAATGCAATAAACACAAAAAAATATTAATAACACACAAAGGACTTTAGACACAGATGTTATTTACTGAAAATCCCAGATTGGAAGAGGTTATTTACTTAATTTAATATCTGCCCTTTCATTTGTTTTATGAGTCTGTTTAACTTTTAGTTAAGTCTTGTTTTTATATCAGTAATAAAAAAAAAGAAATCTAAAAAAGTTAAATGTTGACCGTAGCCTTTAGTTCCCGAGGTAGTTATGGTCAATACCCAGACCGAGACACTAATTGCTTGAATAATAAAATTTTAAAATATAATAAACATACAAAAATATTAACACTGTTAAGACTTTTTTAAGAAGAAATCTAAATATTGATACATAGAATACAAGGGTTAGTTTTGATGTTTAAAAATAATAAATACATCCTGTGAAAATAAATACATTTTATATCTATTAATACACATATTCGCCTTAAAATGTTCTTGGGTATAGTGCAAAACTCTAAAGAGCAACAGGAGGAAGAATATCAATTTGAAGGGAGAATAAGAGAGAAAATAGAATAACACGTTGGCAATCCCATGACCAAATAAGAATTATTATTTAATTTTAAACTTATTTTATAGGAATCACGGT